ACCAACACAACTCATACTTTTTTTTTTTAATTAACATTAAAAAATCCAAAACCTTTTCAGGCTTAATCTTCCTAAATAAGTCCTTAGGTGAAATAACTTAATATGAAATAACTTAATAGCCTATTAAACCCAGTACAGTCCAATAAAATATGTTTAACCGAGAGGGGAATCTTACAAAACATCCATAAAAGCATGAGTCAAACTTGTATGACCTACATCTGGTCGAAACCACTTTATCAGATTTAGTTTTAAGAGTGATTAAAAACAAGTTTGAAATTTCTGGATGAATTTTATATCTTGCACGTGTTCCACTCCTCTTGCTACTTATCTAATATATACCGATTAATCAACAGTGGTGGAAGCAAGGTTGAACCACTCCAGCGATATTAACATTGTCAACACAAAAACAGGATGTAATTTGAGGTGAACCAACAAGATCTGTGTTATCAGTGTCGAGTTTGAGGAAATCACTGGTCATCTAAGCATTAATATCATCAATATAAGCTGATATGGAGTAAGTGGGGAAATGAGCATTGCATTGAGAACTGATGTAAAGGTGTCGTCTGCATTGCAATGGAAGTTAAATTATGGATTATGTTACCATAGAGTTATCACAAGTCGCACGGGTATATTTGTGGCAATAGCCAACAACACATATGGGTAAAAATTATCGATTTTTCTTTTATGCCAAAAATCATTAGGATATTAAATAAAGATCATGTTTCATGAAGATATATTGTAAATTTCCTACCGTAAATATATAAAAAAAGTGTATTTTTGTGAGTAAATGCAGTACAATCGTGAACATAAATGGACAACTTTAAAGGCGATTTTCTCAATGTTGAGATTTTTTGCAACCTCAGATTCCAGATTTTCAGATTGCTGTATCTCAGCCAAATATTGCCCTATCCTAACAAACCATACAAACATGTACCCATGTGACTGGTTTTGTGGTCCAGGTTCACATATTCTCTGGCTCTGTAGGCATTATTGTCTGACTCCGGTTTGAACTGAACACCGCTAGTTTAGTTTCTTTGTGTGAGATTGTCCTGTTTTGTTGTTGCATGAGGTGATTTGCATTTAAAGGGACACACACAAAATGGCATGTTTTTGCTCACACCCCAAAAGTGACCATTTTAACATGCTATAAAAATTTATCTGGGGGGTATTTTGAGCTAAAACTTCACATACACACTCTGGGGACATCAGATACTTATTTTACATCTCTTTAAAAGGGTCATCCGGTGTTCCCTGTTTTATTAATTTCCATTACTGTGCCTATGCTGTTGTATTAAATCTCTTAAAACAGTCTTTAAATCAAAGGAAATTACGCTATTTCAAATAAAAAAGATAAAACCCATAACTTGGGCACAGGTGTAGATACGGAGAACGAGAAAAGAAAAACGGGACAACCCGCAATTCACCACATCAATACATCTGCACTCAGAGGGTTTCATGCTAAATTTCCTTTTAAAAGCAATGCATTACAATATTGCATTACTCCCTTAAAAAATAACTAGTTGCGTTACATAGTTACTTTTTAAGAAAAGTAATCCATTATGTTTTTTTCTTAAATAACAAAAAAAGTTTTAAGTATGTTTTAAGCAAATTTAAAGGCCCTTTCACACCAAAATGGAAATAATAAGGATGAAATAAATGCAAATAAACACATCGCCTCTGCACTTACGGTTTTTGTCAGCATGGGGACAGGAGAGCTGTCAGTGAATAAATGGTAAACAATAGCCTAACTTGAGATACTAATTTCAAAAAGTAACTCAGATATTTTGTTGAAAATTTACAAAGTAATGTGCCACTTTACTTGAAAAAAGTTATTTGATTACATAACTCAAATTACCTGTATTGCGTTATCAACTAACAGCAGCACACCAGCCTACACATCACACAGAAGTTTATTTACACGTAGTAGGCTAACAGTTCTATTTAAAAACATATCGTCCTTAAGAACCATTTATATGCTGAAATGGTTCTTTGTGTTACAGTTTAGCCTTACTTTTCTTTATAACCGCCAGTGAGAGAAATCGGAGAAATCCAATTGCTTTGCAAAATGATTCAATGTTTCGTGTTCGAAACGCCACACGCTGGTGACCTCTGCTGGCCAGAACAGTGTAATGCAACAAAACTTCGGGTCAAACATGCATAAAAACATAAAAACGCATTTTACAAAGCAAATGCTTTATTGAAAGTAAAATATGTCAAATGCAATTAACTAATAATCTAATAAGATTAAATATCGAGTGTCTGTATAATATGTTCTTTTATATTTTTTCAGGGCTTGTTCCATGGATGGCTCAGCTGCAGGCCAATAAGAGACTATTAACTACTGTTATTCATTTTAACTATACAAATGTCTTATTAAAACGTCCACAAATGTTAAAAACCGATCAGAGATCAGGTAAAACACAGAAACTTGATCAATGTTTCTCAGTGAATATGCATGATCCATGGGTTCACAATCATCGCCCCCCAACGGTCAACCATTGTAATTTCGAAACAGTGACATAACAAAGGCTGTCAGAAAGTATTTTATTTCCTGTCGTTTTATTTTGAAACTGTGGTTATATAATTTCCTTTCTGAGTGCGTCATTTCCTTATTACCGACTCTGCATTCTGTGGGATGGTAGCCCTCGTGTGCGTAATCTAAGCGAAAACCACACAAATACATATATTACTGTTTGTACACTGATGCCTGTACTCAAACTTCAATAATTAAAGGGTTTGCTGGAATAATTTCTCCGTGCCCTTCTCCTTGACCGGAGCCCTGTCAAAAGAAACTGTCAGACCAGTATTATCCCTTCAGAGCATCGCACTCTATCACAAAGGCTGTTTCTCAAAATGCGTTCTTCAGCGATTTTGCATCCTTGGGTGTTTCTCATTTCTTATTTGTGCATGTGAAATTGGCTACGCATGTGTGAATCATGTTTTTTGCGTTAATTATTAATGAGACTGTTCTGGCTCCATACTTTCTGTTGCCTGTTCTTCAGTAACGCTGACACTCCCTCATTTCCTTAGCCTACTCTACTTTGTCAACTTATCTGAAGAATTCTGCTTTCTCTTTGTCACTTATTGCATTTTCATGGTTGCATGTTTCCGTGAAAGACTGCTTACTAAAGCCCCTTTCACACAGAGATTCCGGAAAATACACGGATAAAGTGACCCGGGTTTGTTTGATTTTGGTTCATTCACACTGCCAGTGATTTTCCGGAATCAGGGAGTGCGTTCACACACAACCCGTGAAGACACGTGACATCGATGTGACATGTAATGGATTATTAAATAAAATAGTAGGCTACGATTATTGGTACTATTTTGAACCAATAATCGGAACAGTTGAAGGCAGTTGAAGGATGACGTGTATAATTCAAATATTAATCTGACTCCAAAGTTGTTGTTATTCTTTAACCTCTTATTCTTTAAAGGTGAAGGTCTTCAAGAACTGATAGGAAAACGTAGGATTTAACCTGAACATTTAGATAACAAAAGTTATAATCACTTTAACTTTCAACATCATCTGATAAAAGGAAAGATTCTCAAAAGCAGGCGAAAGTTATTTCAGTTACATTTTTAAATATACAGACAGTAGAATGTAACAACATACTGTATAGAAAACTTAACAAATAGCCTAATGTACGGTTGTGCAAAGGAGGCCGTAAAAGCCTTTCTCAGAGTATGAGGTTACGCAGAGGCGGATTAAAGCCTTTCTCCCAGATCAACAGTTACCTTTCCTTCTTATACCCTGAGCATAGCATTGTTAAACATGAGTGGAATACCAACACCGAAACCGACCGACGGGAAACCAAAAGATGAGGCAAATGTGTGGAGATCAATGCATGTTTAACCAATAGTACCTAGATTGTACGTTAGGATACTTTAATGTCTATTAAGTTCACCACCATTCATTTCAGTGTATAAGCTGTCAGATTAGACCAAACATGACAATTACATATTAGAACACACTAGTAAATAAACAGTATGAAGTTGAAAGCATATGTCCTGTGAAGCAAATGGTACAGATGTGTCATTAATGTCTCTCTCAGCAGAACCGTCCTGTTCCTGGAGTGTCCCAAAAGTCCTCAATCCGCATATTGATGAAATCCCTTGCAATAGATATGCATTAACATACTGTGATGATGAAGGCCATTGTGCCAAGTTTAATTCACATGTACACCTTTAAAATGCTTTTTGAAGTATTAGGGCAGTAAAGAGTTCTGCACATGTTTGCTTAGCCCTACAGTTTTAAACCATAGTTTTAATTTAGTTAAAATGTTAATTCAATAACAGCCTGATGAAAGATCAACATCAATGTCTTACCTAATTTAGGTGTTAACTCTTTCAAATATTATTTTCTTATAGACAAAGCAGGAAATCTTCCCTTTTACACATTCACTTGTTCCGCTAAGGCTCAAGTTTCCCTTATTTACCAGATTCAACTTGGACTCAGGTTACCTTTCCTTCATTCCACTCCTGAGTAAGTATAAATATAGCCTGAGCTTTATTATCGGACTCCAGAATCCAGAATCCTTGACAGAGCTCGTCAACTCTGAGGAGAGAAACACAAGAAACAAACGTAAGAATTCTTCTGCCATACAAATTAAATTTCAAAGAAATAAGTAGCCTAATGCTTTTAGTAAGCAGTCTTTCACAGAAACATGGAACCAATAACTAGAGTTTCGCAAGAGTTTCGGGTTTAGTGTTGAGTGTAATTGTGAAAAGCTTTTCTCCTTTTGTTTGCAGACTATGTTTCTTACAAGAAAGTTTTTCGGGATCATTTTCAGTCTCTCACTGAATTTATGGCTCTGTGAGACTGCAAGTGTAATCATTTGTAAGTAAGAAGTATAATATAATTTTTTTTGATTGAAATGAATTTATCTTAAAATGTTGAATTTAAAAAAATTGTATTACAATATATTCCACTAAATCTTTCTCTTACATTGCAGTGGATCAAAAAGAAGCATCAGATAGGCCTACTAAAACGGTGATATCAATCTTGAGAAAGGATATTCTGCTCGAAGCTGCAAAGAACTTCAGAAAAAGTATCAGGTTTATGATGGTACGCTCATTTTATGTTCATATTTGATCTTAAAGGATAATTCCGGTATTTAGCACAAGGGCTGTCACTTTTGTGAAAAAATCCTGTTCGATTTTTGAGACAAAAGTGTTAATTGAATCGATTGTAAAAATCGATTTTCCATAAAGACGTTTCCATTTTCAACACCAAATATAGGCAAATCCACGGACACCTAGGACGAGCGTAAAGAGGGCGCTTGAGACGCATAAGTCAGCAATATTTCTGATGATTTATTGGCGTGAAGTTTCGTGCAGAATGACAAACAGGAGCGCAACATTCAGGGATTGAAATTAACACCCTCGACCCGCCAAATGCGGGTAAAAAGTAACTTTAGCGGGAAACGCTGTCAAATCACGAGCCAATCTGGCGTGTTTCTGTGTTCACTCAATTTGCTGGGGAAGTTTGTGTAAGCCAAATCTGCGCAGATTTAGCGCAAATACGCTACTCGTGATCCTCATGATAGGCCTATATTAAATACAGCGTATTGCAGAATCTGTGCATTTCTGGCTTTCTTGAACACACACGTCTCTGAGCAACAAATAACGGCGCGCTTGTTCACTTGCATTGAAGTAATATCGAATTTTAAAAAGCATTTGGTTAACAGAAAAGACATTGTTATTTCCCAACATCCGACAGGTTCTGTGTGCTGTATTGATCTGTCCACCTAAAACACATTTTTGGTAAAAAAGAAAAAAAGAAGGCCGTTAAAATCGATTCCCTATTTTCGTTTTCGAAACTTGTGTTGGTCGGTCTGATCGATTGTGCGATCGATTTTCGAACGTAAAGTGACAGCCCTGTTAGTTTCTAGAGTCTATTTGTCGTGTTTTGTTGCACGAGTTATTTCAATGAGTCAAATAAAACACGACAGAAACTGTATTTCGCTACGCTACTTGTTTTGGAGCATCAACGAACACCACTAACCACTCGGTGAGTTGCACAGTTTTGAAAACGAACGTTAAGGGTTGTTTTAAGGACATGTTTGAGTATAGACATCCACTCTGAAGCGCTCAGAGGCGAGTCTAAAATAGTAAAAAAAAAAAAGTCGAGACAGGACCCATCGTCAACATTTCTGTGTCCACCACTCTAGTTCATCCAAAACAAACTAGAAAATAGACTCAAAGTGCTAAATACCGGAATTATCCTTTAAGCAACAACTGCAGTGAAGTGACTCATGATGCTTTTGTTGTTAGATGGCCTGTACTATCTGACCTCCTCCAGAGGCGTCCTGTACCAGACCTTCTGTGATATGACCACTGCGGGCGGAGGCTGGACGCTGGTCGCCAGTGTTCATGAGAACAACATGTATGGAAAGTGCACTGTTGGTGATCGCTGGTCTAGTCAGCAGGGCAGTGAACCGAACCGGCCTGATGGTGAAGGGACATGGGCAAACACAGTCATATTTGGAACTGCAGACGCCTCTACAAGTGATGATTATAAGGTATTATTATTACATTCATGGTTTTACAGCAATAGTTAAATAGAAAGAACAGAAATGACACACAAGTATAATGATCAAAGGATGTTTTGTAGAATCTGAAACGATAGTCTGTTTCCCTTCTGTCACAGAATCCTGGATACTTTGACATCCCAGCACAAGATGTGTCCGTGTGGCACGTTCCTAATAATATGGAGGTGGAATCCTGGTTCGCTTCCTCCATCCTGCGACACCACACCGATAATCACTTCTTAACTCTCCACGGAGGAAACCTTTACAATTTATTCAAGGTCGGATAGGTTTGAAACATTCACAAAAATATATATTTTTTTGTGAAATTACAATAACACTGTTTTTTTTTTCTTCCAGAAATTCCCGGTGAAGTTTGGCATAGGGACATGCATCACTGATAATGGTCCTGTTATTCCAATAGTGTATGACAACCGAAATGTGGATTACAACAAAAATCTCTATGGTCCCAGTGCAAGAATATGGCTCTTTTTATAATTTATCCTTTATTTAAGCAGGCAAGTCACTTAAAAACAAACAAAAAGTCACTTATAAACATCCCTTGAGTCAATATTTTTAAAATGTTTTTAATGAAAGTGGCTTCATTGGTCGACAGTATCTGAAAATCTGTGTATCATTAAGTGATGGTGTACAAGGCATCATCGTTGTTGAGATCCAATCACTTGATTAATGAATGAAAGCCATGTCATGTGTTCATGGACGTATGACAGATTATCATCACTGATACTGTATATTCTGTGCATTTTCCCAGCAAATTTTCTGCCTGGATTCATCTCATTCAGAGTCTTCAATAATGAAAAGGCCGCCATGGCTCTTTGTTCAGGTGTCAAACCAACCGCCTGCAACACTGAACATGTGAGTAAACATAATATTCTGGGGGGGGGGGGGGGGGGTAAGTGTACAACTTATCACAATGTTGTACACTTACATTGTGATAAGTGTACAAAAGGCCCGCTATGAGTCAAACATGCCTACATGTTCACTTGTTGTGGTTGACGTGGATGACTCACATTAGACCAGACCAGTGCACCCGCATTATACACACATTTTAGCAATGAACCCAACTGAACTTTCACACACAATTCCACCATGGTTGTAAATTATGGATAGTTTGCTTCATACTGTACATTCAGTTTAATAGCATTAAAGGGATAGTTCACTTCAAAATGAAAATTCTGTCATCATTTACTCACCCTCAAGTTGTTTCAAACCTGTATGAGTTTCTTTCTTCTGCTGAACACAAAAGAAGATATTTTGAAGAATGTCATAACCAAACACTATGGAAGTCAATGGGGCCAGTTAACTGTTTGGTTACTGACATTCTTCAAAATATCTTCCTTTGTGTTTGTTCAGCAGAGGAAAGAAATTCATACAGGTTTGAAACAACTTGAAGATATGATGACAGATATAATGACAATACTCTGCATTAGGGCCAATTACCAAGATCAGAGCCCTCCCCCCGGACAGCACGCCAAATACATTTACCAATTTAATCTATCCATCTTATTTGTAAGTGTGAACTTGTGAATTATTAATTATTAGATACATAAGGTTTTGTATATATATATATATATATATATATATATATATATAGGCCTATTATATGATTTGATAAAATACAAGTCTTCCTCTGTGTGGAAATCCTTAGACATGTTTGTGAAGATTGTTTTGTTTCCAGCGTGCGTCTCCCTCAGACTGTAAACGAAGCTCGGGCGCACCAGACACACGTCAGCAGCGTCTTACGTCAGCGGCACTGAACGCGGATCCACAACAGAACCAGAATACACACACACACACACACCAGACACACGTCAGCAGCGTCTTACGTCAGCAGCGGCACTGAACGCGGATCCACAACAGAACCAGAATACACACACACACACACACACACACACACCAGACACACGTCAGCAGCGTCTTACGTCAGCAGCGGCACTGAACGCGGATCCACAACAGAACCAGAATACACACACACACACACACACACACACACACCAGACACACGTCAGCAGCGTCTTACGTCAGCAGCGGCACTGAACGCGGATCCACAACAGAACCAGAATACACACACACACACACACACACACACACCAGACACACGTCAGCAGCGTCTTACGTCAGCAGCGGCACTGAACGCGGATCCACATCAGAACCAGAATACACACACACACACCAGACACACGTCAGCAGCGGCACTGAACGCGGATCCACAACAGAACCGGAAGACAATACAATGCTGAATAAAGTCATAGTTTTTGTTATTTTTGGACCAAAATGTATTTTCGATGCTTCAAAACATTGTGACTAACCCACTGATGTCACATGGACTACTTTGATGATGTCTTTATTTCCTTTCTGGACAAGGACAGTATACCGTACATACATTTTCAATGGAGGGACAGAAAGCTCTCGGACTAAATCTAAAATATCTTAAACTGTGTTCCGAAGATGAACGGAGGTCTGACGAGCTTGGAACAGTCATTAATGACATAATTTTCATTTTTGGCTGAACTAACCCTTTAGGGAATAACGTAGTTTAATAAAAAACGGTGGAGTGTTCCTTTAAGCGCCTTTCAGACAGGACGCGGAATGCGCGTCACGCCCGTTTCACACATAGGCCTACTCCGTTTGCAGTGCATGGGTACGGAAAAAAATACGCACCGCATACGCACTGCAAAGAGCTTTCACTGCACGCGGATGCAGTCCGTCGATCCGTTCCAGTTGCGGTGCGTATACAGCAGTGCAGAGATCGTTTCCGCACCGAGTCTATTTTTGCTGTGCTGCAAACGCTGAATTAAAGTGACAGCGCACGGTTCGTGTTCAAAATGAACACAGATTGGCCTGAAAATGTATTAATTTCACCATAAATGCATTTAATTCAATAAAATGTAGTAATCTCACCATAAATGAATGTAATTAAATACTACTTTTCATCTTTTTACTTTAAGACCGGGGTTTTAAGCAAGGAAAACGACAATTTACCTCAACAAGGACATAATGAACGACACTCGTCTCATTCGTGGAGGTGGAAAAACAAGTTCTTTGTGACATGCAAGATTTATTGTATTAAAATTTAAATGCAAAAGAAAAGGCATGAGAGTCGGCTGTTTTTGTCAATTTTAAGTTTTCATTTAAAATGTTTGCGATTTTAATATAAGTAGGCTACATTGTTAAAGGGCATATTGCAGGTTAGAGGACCCAACGAGTCAATGTATAGAAAAACAATGTAGTAATTAGATTTTCGTTAAAATATACTTATAAATACGTTACATTGGCTTCTGGAGTCGTTTTTGTGAGCGAATTTGACTTCCGCATCTGAAAATGGGCGTGACGGTCGTGACGTAACGGGCGGGAGAGTGGTCGATTCAAACCATTCAAACAACAGGAAAACAATGGATCGCAATGACATTTCGGACTTACTCGTATGACAGACCACGGACGACAGCCTTACAATTATGAGCCTGCTATGCTGCTGAGAGAGCAGGGACAGGCCAGGATTAATGTTAGACAGAACAAC